CACTTCGGCTCTCTACTAGAGTTCCATCGGGAATTTACTATAGGTATTTGGATTTGTTTGAGACTTGTGATTTCTTGATCCATGATCTCCACCGGTTCCTTCACGAAGTGAAGTTTAGTGTTGACCTGGATCTCATCGAGAGGAAAGACAAGGTTCTCATTAGAGAGACACTTTTGAAATTATATACGTGGGAGGTGTTGTGAACTTTGTTGAGTTCTTGATGTAATTTGAGTTTGTAAGCCATCGAACCAACCCTTGTCAGGATTTCAAAAGGTTCGATGTAACGGGGGTTTAGTTTACCTTGTTTTCCCATGAATTATTGAAGTCTATCACCCAAGCACAGAGGCATGTATTCTAAAGTTTGTATCGTTCTTTCACTTTGGTTATCCGTTTGAGGATGGTAGGTTATACTCATATCGAGTTTGTTTCCTAAGAACCTTTACAGTGATTGCCCAAACCTGGAAGTGAATCTACTATCTTGGTTGGGTCCAAATTTTGTTCATGAAATAGCGTGTTCCGTTTTCCTTGAGGTCGAACTGTTTGTCCATTTCTCAAAGGTTTTTTTTTCTTCCACGATATTCTATGGTTTGAGTGCTCTTAACTGAGCATCACGAATTTGGGTGGTTAGATTGGAGTGGGTGGTTAGGGTTAGAGCCTTTACACGAAGAGGCTTTGCTTGCTTTTCCCTGCTTAATGCATTTGCCACAACATTTGCTTACTAGGATGAATACGAGCTTCGCATTCGTAATCATTTAGCAACTTGACATATTTTCGTTATCTCATATTGAGCTCCTTCTAATCTATGATGTGTTAAAGGGTTTTATGGTCGGTGAGCATGACACACTTTGTTCTGTAGAGGTAGCGTCTCCAAATCTTTAAGGCAGACACCACAACTCCTAACTCTAAGTCGTGGGTAGTGTAGTTGATCTTGTTTGGCTTGAGTTATCTGGATGCATATGCAATAACTTTATTGTTTATGTATCAGCACGCATCGCAACCCTTGGTGAGAGGCATCACGAAATACTACAAAGTCTTTTGTTCCCTCTAGAAGAGACACAATTGATGCACTGCACAATAATTGATTCAAGTTCTGGAAGACAGACTCTTGTTTGTCTCCCCAATCGAATTTCATGTCTTTCTGGCTTTGTGCGGTGAGAGGCTTGGCTATTTTTGAGAAATTCTCGATGAATATCCTATAATAGTCTGCAAGCCTTATGAATTGGTGTATTTCATTTGGTGTCAATAGTCAGTCCGAATGGCATATCCAGAAACTTGTAGTGACTGTACCGAGTCCTGAACGGCGTCTTTGGAATGTGTGCTTCTTACACTCTGAGTTGATGATATTCGGATCTTAGATCGATCTTTGAGTAGTAATGGGATCCTTGTAGTTGGTCGAACAGGTCATCGATCCTCGGGAGTGGATATCGGTTCTTGATAGCGCGTATGTTCGACTCTCGATAGTCGATGCATATCCTGAACGATTCATCCTTCTATTTGACAACAATACTGAAGCTCCTCATGGAGAGAAGCTTGACCGGATAAAGCTTTTGTTAAGAAGTTTTTGGAGTTAGCTGGATAGTTTTTGCATTTCCGATGGAGCCAGACGATAAGGAGATCGTGCCACCGGTGCTGCACCCGAGATTAGGTCAATTCGGAATTTGACATGTCTGACTGGGGATACTCCAGGTATATCCTCTGGAAATATACCCGGGTAATCGCACACTAGCGGTATGTCTACGATTTCCTTACCCTTGTCTTGCATATCCACCACGTGGGCCAAGAAAGCGAAACATCTCTTCTATAAACACCTTCTTGCCTTTATGCAAGAGATGGTTCTTAGATTCTTTCTTGATTTGTCTCTGTAAATCACGAGGGTTTTTTTTCGTTGGGAAGGGGGTAGTCAAACGGATTTTTAGTAACATAAGATTCTCTGTTAGATGAAGTGGTAACCAATCAATTTCGATGATCACATCGAAACTTCCAATGGTCGTATGTATTAGGTTGACGTGAAAGACGTGGTTATTCGTGGCCTTTCTGCAAAACTTAGAGGTGTGACCTCTCAAGTTACAGATGTTGCAGATCACACAATTTCCGACATGGTGGAAATTGCACTTAGTATAGTGAGGTAAAGTCCTACAGTAGGGCTTTGATTTAGTGGGTGTGTTTATGATTATAGTGTACACAACCATAGATTTTGGATTGGGTTTGCGATGCTTGAAGTTCTCCTTTGACTTGTCATGGAACTTCCTTTTTGTACTCCCAATGTAGTTCTTTTAAGTTTGTGGGTTCATGGTACCCTGATTGATACACTGCTCAATCAATTGATAGGCCAACTGCTTGGCATTATCAAAGATAGTGGGTTTGGATGTAGTAACAAGACCTTGAACTGGTGAAGCTAACCCCCAGATGTACCTTTCGGTATTTTTGTATTCTGGGTTCACCATTCCCGGGAAAAGGTTTGTGAGGTTGTTAAATCGGGAGGTGTAAGTAGTCACCTATGATCCTTTCATGGTAAAGTTCCAAATTAGAGAGTGTTTGATTCTAGAATTCCTATAGATTTCCTAATCATAGAGAGTGAATTGAAATCCTACCAATTTCAAATGATAGAGAAAGAAGTTTGGAGACTATTGATGGATCGATTGGGAACAATGGGTTTCTCTGCTACGATGGTAGCGGAGCCATTGGTTCTTTGTTCTTCTTTGGGTTTAGGTGAACTATGAAAATCTGAACGTTATTCCAGATTTTTTTAATATTTTAAAAATGTATATGTTGTTGTTTTCGGGTTCATATAAGGTTTCTAAAGTACTAGGTTTCTGCAGCGAATCTTGAGAACATCCTTCAATCTCTAAAACTTTCAACCATTGTAGTTTGTCATACTCCTTGCTCAAGGTTGGTTGTTCACCGGCCCGACCATAAATAACATAGGCGTACGTTCCAGGTTTATTTATGGTATGGCTTATGTACGGTACTAACCTTAATTGAGGCGTTTGACCTAAAGGGTTGAGTTGATAGTTTTAGTTGGAGGCATGTTAGAATTTTATTAAGTGTTCTCATCGCGGGTCAGAGTATATATAACTCTTATATGTTATTGTTGGTGGGGTTTGCAGTATTATTAAGTTTGTTTTGTACTTCCCGACTACCGAGCACAAATGTGGGCCAGACATGAAGTACCGTAAGTAGTCGAGAAGCAGTGTTATAAATATTAATAATACTTTTATTAGAAGCTAGTTGCTATAGTTGTATTCCTCTTTCAAGGATACGAGTTCTCTATAGCCAATTTAGCTCTGATACCAATTTGTCACACCCCCGGTCGAGGCGGCGGAACACGCCGGGTTGTGCGACTAAGTTCATGGATCACAGGCAAATTGAATATATAGCACAAGTACAACAATAAACAAAATAGCATTCATGTTCCATCTTGATATTTGAATACAATGTTTTTTACAAATAATAATAATAATACATGAATTGCCTCAACAAATAGGCATTTAATACAACAGTAAGTAAACTAGGTCACCTGTAATCCAATCTGTCTTGAATGCTTGTTTAGTGTTTTCCTGAGAATACATGTAGTTTTGAAAGTCAACACAAAGGTTGGTGAGTGTCACAGGTTTTCTGCTAACGCAGTAATACTTTTAGTAAGTCTAAAAAGTATTATCTTTGTATGTATAACGATCGTTAAAAACAGTATTTGCAAAGAGTCTTTAAAAGCCAAGAATGTATTTTGATATAAGTAAATTCATGCTTTTAACATGTACTTGTAATAACTCATTGAAAGTCAAAATGAATGCTTTGTATAAGTAACTTCCATACTTAAAACTGCGTTTGTAATGAATCTTTGAAAGCCAAAACGTTATGTTCCATAAGTAATTTCCATACATAAAATGTACTTGTAATGACTTCTTAAAAGTCAAAATGAATGTTTTGTATAAGTAATTTCCATACTTAAAATAATACTTGTAATGACTTCTTAAAAGTCCAAATGAATGCTTTGTATAAGTAATTTTCATACTTAAAAATGTACTTGAAAGCAACCAAACCTATGGTTGTAGTAAGAGAGAGAGAGAGAGAGAGAGAGAGAGAGAGAGATTCGTGTTAATGTTTTTAGTGAGTTTTATAATCGAGCTATGGACGAAAAGTACCCCTCCCTACGACGCTTCATTGGACGTCGTAGTAACGATCGTAGACACATATCACCTGCTACGATTGATCAGTCGATGGTTGTAGCTAGCAACCGCAGGTGGGGTTGTCGATCCCATATAGATCTATACATATGTACCTCGCTCCGAAGATTAACGATTATAGCAGTGTGGGGCAGGCTAAGTAATTAAACTCAGCTAATGAATAGTAGCGTCTCACTCAAAAACCATTAACGAAAAGTTGTGAATAACTCTCAGCCCTAACTTAATTAAGATTAAGTGTCAGGCATAATGAATTTCGTAGTATAGCATTCGTAAAAGCCGAGTATGGTTGTCGTATTTATAAATGTATAAAATACTCGCTTTTATAGAGAAATTTAGTTCAACATAATGGTCTTTTATAAGTGTGTAAAGCCTCATGCATAAAAGTATTCATGTATAAAAGTCTTTGAAACTTTTAAATACTTTAAACTTGTATATGTGTGTAAAGCTTTATGCATAAAAGTATTCATGTATAGAAGTCTTAAAACTTTGGAATACTTTAAATTTGTAGTATGCATATCATATAAGACTAAAAATGAATGTTTCAAATTAATGAACAGATGTACATGTATAAACCTTATTCATATAAACATATAAATATACATGTATAGTAATATCTTGAACCACTGAAATACTACACAATTTCATAACGTACTTGTTATAATATAAAAATCATAAAACTTTGTATCATGTAGTATTTGTTGCGTGAAATGGTTATTTCACAATAAAATAACCATAATACGTATATGAGAATTTATACTAGTTTATTCGTAACAATATAGTAAATTGTTAAATAATAATATTTTTATAAACTAGGTTTTTCGCATAAAAAGGTAATATATTTGTATAAACAAAATATATAGGCACATGTATTCCCCCCGAAATAATATTGAAAAGGGATCGTAAGCACTCACCCTTGAAGCGTAAGTTCCAATCGTTCGAAGTCGGTTCCTTTTGAGAAACTTTTCGTGAAAGTTGTTATGTGATGTTCGTTGCTCTTAAAGAAAACCACCGAGTTTATTTTTATTTCCTAATAAACCAAATGGTAGTTTCCGTATTAATTATTAAGTATATGGTGGTCTTTCATAAAATAAATAAACTCTAGGGCTTGATTTTGCCAAAATCATACTTCAGGGACTGATGTTGAGAATTATTCTCAAGACAGAGGTTAATCATGTAAAATCGAAACTATTTTAGGATTTTAGGACTTAATTTATTAAGTTTTTCTGAGGAGGGACCAATTATGTTTAATTTTAATGAATGTTTGATTATTAGTTTGACCTTTGACCGGGTCAAAATGAAAACCCATTTGTTTTAGCGGAGCTCCATGACCGATCCACACAAGTGGATCCATTTACAAAAAGGATCAGGGCTCTTACCCTGTTTCTTTGGTTTGATCGGGTAAAGGAACAAAAGGCGATCGATCGACCATATCGCGAAGGCAACGCAATTCAGGTCCGGTGGCTGCTGATCTTTCGTCGAGACCTCTAGTGGTTCTCTCGGTTCCAGAACCACAAGGTTGTGGTCGGATTTAATAGTGGAAGTAGAAGGCAAGCGGCAGCAGCAAGCGGCGCTGGGTGACAGTGGGTGGCATGCTGCTCCATTCCTTGCGTCCATCAGTCAGCCGGTGAGGGAAAAGGGAGGGCGGCGATTGGCAGCCTCCTGCTCCATCGGATTCCTCTTTATTCGAAAGTGCACAACGAGAGGCGGGCCCTTCGTGGGTTTTTCTTATTCATCGTCACCTTCGTCTGCAAATCGGAAGGGGAATCATAAATCGGAACAATAGCAGTCGGCAGTTAGGGGTACACTTCCGGTGCTTGTCTGCTTCGAAGAAGAAGAGAGAAAGAGGGGAGCGACAGCAGGGCAGTCGCCAGCTATTTTGTCGACTAGGGCTGCTGCTTCCTTGGTTCACAAATCAAGGGTGTGCTTTTGGCTTGCTAATGTTCGATTCTTACAGGTTTTCCTCTCTTTTCTTTTTATTTTGATTGTTTTTTTATGGAAATCTGTGGAGGGAAAGAATGTTTAGGTCGATATTTCACAGTGATCGATAGGGCTGTTGGGTTTGATTTTTGATAGGAAATTTTGAGGGAAAATAGCAATCGTTTGAGGTTTTTGGTAATCTATTTACACTCTCTTCTTTGTTGTTTGGCAGTTAACACGAAAGGTGATTGAAATAGGTAGAGAAATCATCGATCAAAGGAGTGTTTGGATGGTTTGTGTTTGAGTGTTCATGTTAATATTAGTATAGGGAAGTGAAGGAGAAGCAGAACAGCAACAAAACTACTGTGAAACCCGTGGGAAAGAAGAAAGAATAAAGATCGAAAGAGGCTTGTTGCCCCCTTGGATGAGTCCTGGCAGCAATTGAAGGACAACAAAAGAAACAGACCCTTGGCGTATGATTTTGTATAAGCAGAAAGTTAGAAGCATCTTGTACAATTGTTGAGTAGTGTGCAAGTTTCATCCCCTATTTGGCTGTAAATTTAAGTAAAATAGTTAATTTAAGAGTAAATTCATTTTAGTATTATGTATTTGTTTCATTATGAAATGTGTGAATAGTTTGTAATTAATGAATTTTCATATATATCTTGTTTGGTTTGGATTTAGAAGCATTGTAATACCGTAATTATTTGTGCATTTGGATGAGTATTAATTTATTTTTACTTGTTATATACACTAGCATATGTATTTGAAAAAAATGGTATATGATTTATATAAATATTTATATATTCAGTGTTGTTATATAATTTAAATTTTATAACATATATGAATTGCATGATTATCTCATATTGTATATTTTATCAAAACTCTAGTATATACGTTTTGCATTTGACCATAAAACATATCTCATACTTGTATATACGTACATATATCTAGTACATATATCTAGTCGTTCACGATTTTATAAGTATTAGACTATTCCACATCAACCGGATTTGGATGTATATATATTATTTTGGATTACATAACTAATAATAGAAATCATGTCGAAATAAATACTTTAATGTTTCGTGATTCAAATCCTGAAAAACGTTTGATTTGTCAACTTTTTATAATTACTTTTACCTAAAATATTTCAAAAATCAAATTAAATATTATGCTATAGCCTGAGTCCAAAATGCTTTCGGAATCTCTATTTGAGGTGCGCAAGTCCTTTAATGGTTAGAAACGGTTTTTGATAGTTTTTAAGAAAATCGGTATTTTACTGGTTTTCGATTCTTAAAACGGTCGTATCTTTCGCATACGAACTCCATTTTGGACGTTCTTTATATTTTCGGAAACAGGGAAACGAGTTCTACGAGACTAGAGTGTTTGTTTTTCTCACAACGGCTTAATATGATATTTCAGTTTTTCAGGCGCACTCCTAAGGTTGTCGATTGAGCTATTTGATTTATTTGTCAAATTAAACATTTGGAAGTAAGATACCATCTGGTATCTTATAATAGTTGGAATAACTCATTTATTTTATATTAGATGCACTAAAACTCAATGAGTCAATTTATCAAGAGACTTATTGTGAACTTAACCGTTCACAATCTTTGACCTAAATTCCGGAATGTCACAGTATTACATCCCAAGGATGATGAGACTCATAGTAAGTGCGCATTCCAACCCAATGGTTGTGGGCCGAGAGTATTCCATCCCGAGGATGATTGGACTCATAGTATGTGGGCATTCCAACCCGATGGTTGTGGGCCGAGAGTACGTATTCCATCCCGATGATGATTGGACTCATAGTATGTGGGCATTCCAATCCAATGGTTGAGGGTCGAGGGTATACCATCCCGAGGATGATTGGACCCATAGTATGTTGGCATTCCAACCCGATGGTTGAGGGCTTGGGGCATTCCAACCCGATGGTTGATTGGGCCCATAGTATGTTGTTATTATATGTGTGTTATTGTTGTGCGAGTATTTTGGGGGAACTCACTAAGCTTCATGCTTACAGTTGTGGATTTTGTTCAGGTACTTCAGATGTTTTGGCAAGACGAAGGTGTGACCGTACACATCCTTGGTTTTACAACTGACTGGATCTTGGGAGACTCTGATTTTAAATCATGTTTTGGAAACAATGGTTTGTAAACACTTTTATTAATAAATGGGTTGTTTTGAAAAGTTTAAATTTGTTGAAATTTTTGGGATGTTAAAATATTGATCAACGAGGGATCATATAAACAATTACACGTCACATACATGATCAACACGAGTAACTTGTTAAGCAAAGAAGAAAGCATTTGTTCAAAAGTACGCGATATATGCCTAGATATTACGCGATGTGTTGTAACCTCAACTTTCAAAGATAATCCCAATTATTGAATTGCACGACATATCCATCACTATAACGTGTCGTGATATGGCCTTACTTAGTTTTATATTTTAGGTCATTATCTTAATTATTGTGAGATATATGATTGTATTTAAAGATAAATGATACTTAATATGCTTTGAATTGGATAAATATAGGAAAATTCATAGCTGATGAGCAAAAGGAAAGGATTGGGACAAGAATGGAGCTGATAAGAATCAAATTCGAAAATTACAAAAAATCTGACATTCACTACGCTATTACTCTGACGTTCGTGACGCTAACCAAGGCCAAGAGTTCAAGTACATCGTGGACACTTTAACCCCCAAACGATGTCCACAACATATATAACACAGACCAGGTTAAGATAAACTCGTTTTGAATGTCCAAGAAACCCTTTTGTGCCGATTTCAAGTTGGAGAAGCGCTTTAGAGTGAAGATTTTAATCGGAAGCTAGAATCATTAGGATCTCATTTTGGTTTTCGTGATTATCATTTTTGGAACCTCCTCGGTGATGTTTTATGCTTTTAGTTACTGGTTATGGGGTAAAACCCTCTTTCTTTCACTAGAGTAGATGTAAATTTGAGGTTTCGTTGTGACTCCATTAATCAGATTATTAGTTTTGTTTAATTTATCATGTTAGTTTGTTAAATATTCATGTGTTTTTTTTCTTTATTGCCTATATCCGAGTTAATAGAGTTTAGAGGACCAATCTAACTTTGTTGGCTTGAATTATAGTTGTTAACGATCGTAGAAGTTGTGACTATAGATGGACGAAATCATAGGGTTAGGTTAATAAAGTTGTTAACTTTAATATGTAACACTGCATTAGACAACCAAATTTGTGAATCAAATTGATTACCATGACAACTGGGATAAGTTTACTAATGGAATCTCTCATGAAACGAACTTAATAATAATTGTTCTTATAGTTAATCACATAACCATTTTGTTAATTGTATTAAAATTATAATGTTAGTTAATCAAACCAAGATAACTGACTAGCTAATAGAGGAATCGTTGAATAATACTAATATCCATCGCGCTCTATTGGAATCACCCATAACTAAAATGCGTAATCAAATCTATGCGAAAATATATTTATCTCTCTTGTATCTAAATCTAATTTCCAGTTTTGTTAGTTTCGTTTGTAGTTTAATTGAGTTTAAACAATACTCCCTTTTTTTACTTTACTATTTATCATTTAATTAACATTTGAATTATCTGGTCTGAATCATTCCTATTTCCTTAGTGTACGACACCTTTTCTTACCACAACTGTACTACGCTGTTAGGTTCACTGCCTAGTGTGTGTATCAGTTTAACCGTGATAAAGTAGGATTTGTAAATTTAAAACTAGTTCATAAATATACACATCAAGTTTTGGCATTGTTGTCGGGAACAGTTTCATTTAGTTTGGAATATTTGTTTGTTATTGAACTTTGTAAATATAGTTTAGATTTTATTTTCTTATGTTTATTTTGTTTCAAATAGATTATGGGTTACAGGAACTAGAGTTAAAAGATGAGTCATTTGATGGGATGTCGATTGATCTAGAAAATGATTTGCATGAACTGCAAAGATTGTTGGCAGAAGATTCGAATGAAGAACAACAAGTTGAAACCAAGGAAACGTGATGCGGCTCTCTAATATTTGTGACTTAACTTCCCATGTTTCTAGTTTTTGTTCCGCAGATTGGGGTGACAATTCTCTCTCCGAAGGAAGTTTAGAAGTGTGATGTTTTTCTAGTTATTGTCCAACTAGCTACATTCATTAAAAATTTTGGGAATGAATAAATTCAAGCTTACATGACCGGTTTTAGAAACAAAAAGTCAAATTTCATGAATTGTGTCAAAAAGGGTATTGAATGCAATGGATGATACGGTAACAACCATATTAGAAGTTTATTAACTTGTGAGTCTAACTTAAGACACACAAAAATGATCATTTATTGGTAGGCAACCCCGACATCTAAATAAGTTTGAATTTTTTTTTCGTTTTTTATTTTTATTTGTAGTTTTATTTTGAATAAAGGTGATTTTGAATGTTTTTATTTTTTACAAGTTATTCTTAAGCTAATATCTGAGCAAGACACAAGAATGAGGTGGATTATTACGAGAAGAAAGAAAGATGAGTGATAAAAGATGAGCTGCAAAGATTGTTGGCAGAAGACTCGAATGAAGAACAACAAGTTGAAACCAAGGAAATGTGACGCGGGTCTCTAATATTCGTGACTTAACTTCCCATGTTTCTATTTTTTGTTCCGCATATTGGGGTGACAATTCTCTCTCCGGAGGAAGTTTAGAAGTGTGATG